AAGACGAGTATTATTCAGTTTTAATGACGTGGCAGTTGTATGGAATAAATTTCTTCTTCGATTTTTAATAGAAACATAAAATGGGCTGGACCTGATTTCAAGAGAAATGCGTAAAGAATTTTACTCGGAAAACCAAACGGATAGAGGCCACGTGGGAGATCTTGGAGTACATGCAAGAATAACGTCTAAATGGATCTTAAGAGGGTAGATTTTGAGAATTTATGCTGGATTAACATGGTTGAAGACAGGAAGCTGGGGTTCATTCTTTGTGAGCACGTGAACTAACCTTTACTAAACATACAAGACGGAAAATGTCTCAATCAGATGAAGTACTAATAGTTTACCTTCATCATGTACGTACGTGCTAATTCTGGTAAGAACTTATTTTCATTCACTAGACGTCTTTGGTTTATGTCCACTTATTCCCATGTACGAATACACTACACGGTTACCTGGTCGTACAGTCAGGGGGTAAAGAAATACGGATGACTCTCTTTCCACAGATTGTGTTCATAAGAACCTGGTATTAGACCTTATCGTGAGCCAGTTGAATCCATTCCATCCCTACACACACTGTTTCTGAATTACAAAGTCTACTGGCACAGAGAACCTTCAGCTGTGACTGTAAATTAAGGAGCGTCTTTGTCTGAAATAGGCCTGGATGTAATTTTCTCACAGGCTGAGCTGTTATGGTTGGGGAGAGAGGTTTCCATAACGCACATTCACAGTCTAGGTCGCTTTTGTGAAAAATGATAGCGAGGGTTGCAGCTGACAGACCGCCTCAGTGCACTCGTGGAATGTTTCTTAATATTGAATATAATCACAGGTCTCTGGGTACGAATACGTATAAAATGACATGTCACCTTACCAACTAAAGCAATTCATGAGCAACTTTTCAGCTGTAGCACGAACTACGACTCAGGTTAATCTTGGGTAACGTGACTGCCTACACAATTCCTCTTTCGGGCTGGTAATTTTTTTTTTATTTAAGATTTTAGTCGCCAAAGAGACGACCCATTGCTGTCTGTCTGTGGTATCTTAAAGCAGTTTTATTTCTTCTTTGGCGACCGTGGATAAAGAGTTTCTGACCTGGCTCGTTTCAGAAGTACTTTCTGAAACAAATTTTTTTAAAAAAATGTCCTTCGACACTGAATGAGGGATCTGTGATTCGGTAAGACCCTCCTACCAGCAGATGAAAACAGAATACAAATCAGAAACATGGGTGCATACGTCGTTGACTCAAATCTGATTTTAACCTGCTATGTTATCCTGTTTTTCGAGTGGTCCAGAATCTTAACCCACTCCTTCAAGTTTTGAGACGAACTAATTTCTTGTCTGCACGTTCCCAGCAAAGTTCTGTCATGATTGCTACTGTTATTATTGCGATATGTCGAGACGATGTCTCTGTAGAACTGCAGCCCCTAATGGGGCCCATTGTCCAACCCCCAGATGATACATCAGTAAATATAAGCAGCGGTGATAGGGGTAAACAGGGCTTGGACAACCCAGTGACACTATATCTACCACAAATCCCCACGTGGTTGTTGCTACTGTACGGACCCTGTGTGGGTGTTAAATCTTATCTCGATATTTATTTTTTCAACAGAAAAATGTCTGGAACAAAATTGTGTGTTAAGATTTCCCGCGGATTGAAGATGAAAATTACAATTATTCTTTCCGATGAACCCCTGATGGTGTTCGTGAACCACAGTTTAGTAACCACTACTTTGAAATGCCAGTCTGCTAAGACCTTTGCTACAACCACAAAGGGAAGTCTTCTCTGCAATTCCAGTACCGAATGTAATAAGATGTTATTGTTCCTTATACGTTTCTGTACTCCGCCGAGTTAGGTTTCATTGCTTGGGGAACGGCAATTATGCGGTTCGCGTGAATGCATGATAAAACTGGTTATCCTTGACGTTAGACGCGTAATTGCAGCTAGGCGCCACATGACGGACTCCTGTTCTGTTTTCGCTTCGTATCCAGGACATTTAGAAAACAGTTAATGCACAAAGGAAGGCGTCCACGTTTTTTTTATTTAGTGTTCTGTCTGACGACAGGTCCATATGAACAGGATCCTTCCATCCTTTTCTCGGACTGGGACCTGTTCATATACGTTCTTGGCAGATGATCCAGAAGTGGTTTGCCATTGCCTTCTTCTGTGTGTGAATGGAGTAATTGTTGGGATGCCACGGAGGAAAACTCCGTGTTGCCTAGACCACGGCCTTGCCCAACACAAGTTATAAATTCGGGCACCGCCGGGAATCGAACCCGAGACCCCAGGATTACGTACCATTGTTTAATTCGACTAGCACGACCCGTTAAATTTCACGGGAATTTACCTTTTTCGTGCTCAACAGGAAAACAGTTTATTGCAGCATTATATTCGCAAATCGCAATGAACGTGTAAACTGCGTAAAATTTTCTTTCGGAAATAAATAAAACGTAAAAACTTCTTCACGGCTAATGCCAAACGCACCGACAAAAATAAAAAAAAAATGACTGCGAGACTGCGCCAGATCCCACCAAAGCATCGGTTTGCACATCTTGCTGCCAGAGTCGCAACCGTCAGAACTTGATTACCATTCGCAAGCCTACAGTCAAGCGTGACGGACATTGGCTCTTATATCCACACAAGTAGGATTTCGACTGACAAAACTTCAATATTATCTGTTAGCTCTTAAAAGAAACAAAACAATTTTTCCCACAGAGTGTATTTATATGTTTTGTACGATTCTCAGAATTTTCAGAAATTATTTCCTTCAACTGCATTAACCAACTGATCTTTGTAATGGTAAAGTGTTGTGTTTTCTTTGCAGTATGGATTGAATTTTTAAATAATGTTTACACGAGCTTTGGCTTCAAAAGGTTAACATTCAGTGTGTTCTAAGAAGTTGAAACACGAAGATTTCTGTCTTCTGGGTTATTGCGCTGTGTAGTCTGGTCGATGTTAACCAACGTTTCAGAGGTCATACTGCCTCCGTCATCAGGGCGATGAGTATGAAGATTTCTGTCTTCTGGGTTATTGCGCTGTGTAGTCTGGTCGATGTTAATCTTCATATTCACCGCTGTGAGAACCTCAAGTCTTACAAGTTGAAACACATCAAACAATAGTTGTAATACCAGTTTCGGTTTCATTTTGTATTCTAAGCAGGCTACTGGTTTTCCTTCTTTCTTCTTTCAAGACACTTGTGATTACTCGCTGCAAAGGTACTCGGCAATACGGAAACCCCACAGCCTTAAGTCACAATCTCTGTTGTGGACAGACTAATGAAAATCACACACAGAAATTTGTCTTTCATTTCATTAGCTTTGCGTCATTAAAAATGGTCCACGTGTAAACTGTATCATAATGAGAAATTTGTATTTTTACGTTGTGTGCCAATATTTTGTATACTGAGCGGTTCTGGAAAAAAAATGCATGAAGTTGAGTTTGATGTCCATTCAAGTAGTGCGTGATACAGACTAAAATGAAATTGACCTGATAATCTTTAGTATAGGCTCGTAATACTGACATCATCAAAATCTGGTCTAAGTAATGCCCAGGTCTGTAATCAACATGGTGACTTGAAACCTATGCACAGTTCATAACATCTGAGGTCCTCACAGCAATGAAAATGTTGATGTTGTTCTTATGGGTTATCATGTAGAGTTGTAGGTAGATACCAGTGTGTCAGAGAAACAAACTGACTCCATTTTCACAACCCAGAAGAACAACATTGACACATTGAGATAGTTTGATTATCTTCTTCTTCTCCTTCTATGGCTCTGCGGTCCGCATTCGGTCCATGGCCTCCTCAATTCTCCTCTTCCATT